ATGAAATATTATAATTGTTACATTTCTGTCATGAGGAGTAATTGCCTACAATCTTGTATTTTTGTCATAGATTTTTAAGCATCAAAGTACCTGTCTAATGTAGGGATGCTCCGATCCGCCTTTTTCGCCTCTGATACCGATTCCGATACCTAGGGTTCGGTATTGGCCGATACCAGTGAAGTTTTTTCCCTAATTTAAATAAACGTAGAATTTATATATCTCTGTATGTGGAACTGATAATCGTTCTTTCACAATCTACTAGATACAGACTACTTCATTATAAAGAAAAATAAAATAAACAAATATGAAAAAATATAGGCCTATGTATATTTATAATCTATGACAAAAAATTATCGTAAACTAGGTTAGTGGATAATTCGGCAGCAAAAGTTATTCTAGAAAAATCAGTGCACAATAATTTTAGAAAACCAAACATTTAGTGAAAAAACTATTTTGTGGGGAACAAATAAAAGTGTTGCACTAAATATGGTAAAATGTTACACATTGCTATTTGTATTATTATAAAATCCATTCATTAAAAACATTCATGAATGTATTTATATATAAGTATATACTATAAAATTAAAATACATTTCTTTTAAATGTATAGCATATTTTTTAATAAGGCAACAACATATGATAGATACGATAGGACAAAACAAATACAGTGCAGCACGAACTGTTTTTATACAGTCAACCCTCTATGGTTTTATATATAAGTTATGCCATTTTACAAACATATATAATGTTTGTAAAATGGTACAGCTTTTTAAATATCTCAAAGTACACTCTTAATATCAGTGAGTCAAGCATTATAATATGATAATCAAGTATTTAATAATAAAAGTTTAGTAATTAGAATTAAAACTTGGTAACCATGAACTTAGGACTGGTGCTGGTGCTTTTTTTGGTCATTCAGTGTTCCTGTAAAAAAAAAAACGAACAGTGATACTGATAAGATATTATTATTATTATTATTATTATTATTATACAAATTCTACTAATAAGAACAATATAAAAACGCACTAAGGATTAATGAGCTACTGGATTCATGAATATTAATCAGGTTGTGTGCGTTTATATCGTTTACATGTAGCGCATCAATGCTGCATGTTATGTAAGACTCTCGCTCGCTCTCACTCTTTGCGCGTGTGAGAGAAATCGTCAGCGAGTCGTGCGCCTTCACACTAGAGATTACGTTACACCAAATACACAAACACAGGTGTGCTGCGCATCCATTCAAATGAACTGAAAAACATCACAGGTCGCTTGACGGAGAGTGAAACTCTGAAGTGCTCAGTAAGAGTGTTCTGTGAGTGAAAATATATGTGCTAATCATATACTCGGCCTCCAACTCACACACTGGCGAGTAAAATCTGAGAATTGATTAGCCATTGGCTAATATTAGACATCATTTAGTCGCCCAGAGTGAAGATTTAGTCGCAATGTAGAGGGTTGACAGTCTATGTATGAGCACGAAGCGCATTGTAAGCGCTTCGTGTTAAAAACGGCAAAGCACAAAGGGAAGAGAAATTAATGCGTAGTGTATTATATCTGTGCAACAGTTATTGAGCCTTTCTTTTAACAGTTTTAAATTTCAGTTACTGTGCACGTTAAAAACAATTTATAGTCTTTTCTATGCCCGTGTTTTGTTCTCACAGACACCCGGTAGCAAGTAACAAAACAACATTAAACTCCGGCAAGAAGATAAAGTCCTTTTTGCAAATCATAGACATGTATTTACAAATCAAGTATAATGGGAACACAGAATGATCTTGGAGAGAGCTTTACCGAGCTGACTGCTGTAACCGAACGCTACCAGGGTTTAACTTTAAAGGCTGAACGAATGACTGACAGCCACAGCGGAGAAAAGAGTTTGTGTGAACTTTAATGTAAGGACTTAAATATTCATATGTAGCTCACATTAAGCTATCGTATGGCTTCAGAAGTAACACAGAATAATTCACACAATCGAAAAAAAAACAACTATTCTCGGATTTGGATCGGCTCTCTCTGACCGATACCCGATCCGAGAAAAATGGCAGTATCGGAGCCGATGGAGTTTTTTTTTTCTTTTTCTCAAATACAGGCTTTTCCTCTTTATTGCCTGTCTGAAGACCAGTTTGGGCTGTATAAAGCTCTCTGTAGAGCTCTCTGATTCAGTTCCTTCTCAGCAACCATCTACAATGTTAATAATTTGGGTAGTTCATACTGCAAAAAGAGCTGCTCTCTCTTCCAAACAGGTTTTGCATTTGAAGTGTTTGGTTAAACACTGAAAGATGAACGCGAGCAGTGTGTTTTGAATAAATCTGTGAGCTAATCCATGAAAGGATTCAAATTCTGATGTTCTTAGTCTTCTGCAGAGACAGACCTTTGAGTATTGGTATAAAGTCTAATCCATTTTGTAGCATATTTTGGCCAAGAACGACACACTTGGATGGTAAAAGATCATCATAACTGACATGAAAAGCAACCGACCACAGTTTGTTTTGCTTTTATCATTCAGCTAATTTTTACATTCAAATCACTACTGATTATTTCATACAATCAACATCTTTTTTTTTTTTTTCATTTTCCATTTTAGTTTCTGTTAATAATAATAACCCTAATCGAATCTGCCAATTTAAGTCAGCTCTTGCCATTTTTATGAGAAAGCTGGCATGCATCTCTATTTCTCCTTCCTCTCCCCAGTGCAGCTCAATTTTCCTGTGCACCTTTTAAATCAGTGACGGATCAGGAGAATGATGCAGTTTGGCTAGAGGCATCCATCTAATGAGAATTCAGTCTTCCCATAATTTTAATAAAGTCTCTTGTTCCAGGCCGCACACATTCTCCCGCGTGTCGTTTCGGCGTAAGGCGGCACACGGCCGTAGGGCACTGTGCATTCTTTATGTGTTTGTTTGTGAGTGTGTCTTTTATGACTCTTCACCTACTCCAAAGGCAAGAAGCTTTGGAGGAATCATTACACTTTTACATTTCCCCAGGAGTCCCCTGTGCAGCTCCATACTGTGGAGTCTGATCTAAACTCGCTCTCAATTCTTCAGTTGACACAGGACCGAGAACAGATTTTGCATTTCATTACTCATTGCTCATTATGGTCCCAAAATGTTGAATTCAAGTAAAACACAAAGGAGGGTCGGTCAGGAATAGACTTTAAAGGGCAGCTTATATGAACAATGCAATGCAGGATATGACTTCACTTCCTGTGCAGTGTTATTGACCTTATAGGGTCTCTGGGGGCTAATGAACCAAATACCAAGATCAGAGATGAGTCTGGCCGTTTTGATGACATCATTCATTCTTTGTGAGATGCTTGCTGTTCCCATTAGTGAGAAGATCGTGGCTTGGGGTGGAGAATGGACTCTCATGCTAATATTCTTTGTTTCATGCCATTAAAACTCATTAACTTGTTTCTCTGGTATTGTAAATGGTATTTATCTCAAATGGATTGCGTTCAGTCTACATTTAGAACATTGTTTATTGTTTATTGAAGCTGTGTAGTGAGCTAGATTTTGATTTGGAGAAAGAAATATGATTCTTGCAATGAAATATCATGAGTGTGTCTTCACCAGTCCAATATTACTGGATATGTCAGTGCAGTTACTTTTAATATACAGCCCAAACAGTTGTAGAGACTGTCCAAAACTTGCCAGTATGATACTAGAGTGTCGTGGGTGGTTAGTAGGTGGTTGTTTACCAGCCCAACGTCTCTGTGGCATTCTAGTACTCAGATATGACACGAGCCCCTACAATGTAAGTTTTATAAGATTTTTCAACAGAAGAAAGTAAGTTATACAGGTTTGAAACAACACGAGGGTGAATAACTGATGACAGAATACAAACAAGATGCACAGTTTTTTTCTTGATTCACAAGGAATCACATTTTAAGTATACTGTATATATTTTTTTCCCAAAGATAAGTGTATAGGATTGGTTCAGAATAATTTATTTGATGGTGACATTGTAGCCTATGAAGAATTACAGTGTAGTGATCCATTGGTTTTGAACACTTCATCTCTTTCTCTTGCTCTCTTAATGTTTATGAACGGTTCTCACTGGCAGAAGACACCATCTTATTTGTCTTTTCCTCAACCCGTATGTTATTTGTGTCTGGGGAACATTAGCCTCTGGCTCAGTACGGCTCCTGCGGAATATTAAAGACCTGCATGTGGCACGCGTGCACTACCCATCCTACCACAGCGCCTTTATTTTCCAGTCATTTAACTTGAGACCCATATAGAAGCCTATTCATTCAAAATTGTTTATTTGAGTTCAGGAAACATTTTCTGACATGGCTTACTCAGCAGCTGGCTTCAGATTGTCCCAGTTGATGATTTGGTTTTATAATATTGTTGATATTGTCAACTAAAACTGTTAAATCTTTTTTGGTAGCTGAAACAAAGCTGGAATAAAATAAAATATAAATATTAGATGAAAAACATAAACTTAAAAAGAAAAACAAGTAAATATAAATATTGCATTGGAAATAAGTGACTAAAATGACAAACTGAAATTTGAATTTAAAGCCGTTTAAAAGATAAAGACTAATAATAATGACATAACTGCAGAAATTGCTTAAATTTAATTAAAAAGAAAAGCTGAAAATAAATATTAAGAAATGTTAATAATATTATAAATTATTAATATTAACAACAATACTATGATACTTGCAGTACTGTAGCTTTTTTTTAAAAGTGAAGGCCAAGTGCATAAAGCACGATTTATTAACCGCTTCAATTGTGTTACTTTTTTCCATATTTTTCAGCCATGGTAATTAAATATGGTAAAATGTGCATGCTTAGTGGTAGCTAAAAAGCATGAAAAAACAGCCAAAATATTTAATAAAAAGTCACGCAAGGAGGGAGGGATGTGTATAACTTTGTGAATGACAGGTGTTTTAGATCTCTGGAAACCCCTTTGCGGATTTCTGCATGTGCATATTATGTAAGGGCCTTACAATGTGTGAACTAATTGTAACTTTTCACCTTGTCACTTTTCAGTGTTGCCGTGGGAGTTGGTTTCTATGGAAACAGTGAAATCAATGATGGGGTGTACCAGCTGACCTATTCTCTCTATAATGTCAATCACACACTGGCGGGAGTGGACAGTTTGGTAAGTACAAATATAGCAGCGCTGACTATAAATAACACACTGAGACTGTTTTTGACTCCCTGACCAACTTTAGTCTTGACTGATTTCAGCTGAGTAGTCTCCCAATAGAATAGTGTCCCAATAGTCTTGCAGACTTCTCCCAAGCAACTTTACTCCCTCTAAAGGCTCTAACATTATCTCTTTTCCCTCCCCGCAAATAGTTCTACACTTTCTATCAAAGCATTCTTTCCAACCAAACCTCAGCCAGATGGTCCTTATATCCAGTTCAGTTGCCTGCTCCTGTTAAATCTTTTTTTTTTTTTGCCAATCGGCACTGCTAAAATTTCATGGGATCCCCACTGAGTGCATGATTGATTTTCTGACATCCCTTTGCAATAGCAAGGACACCGTTGAAGATATATGCTGCTATGTGCAACTGCTCAATGTCTCTGGAAAGATGTAAATGACAAGGGGTGTATTTGTGTGTGTTAGAAAATGCATACACACTCTAGTGTGTTTCTGTGATATGGAGTTGTTGGAGAAAATACCTCAAATTGGTTTTTACAGCCTTTTATGTTTGTGCAGTTATGAAGGCCTCTTTTCCCTTTCGTCATTGTCCCCTGAAGGCTGGGGCATGAATAAAACCTTATTCATGTATTGTCAGCCATACCTATTTATATCCGTCTTCATTTTCTGATTCAAATGCGTGGAGCTGACAGTGACACTAAGACGCTTTAATCCTGCTTCACGCACCAATTTCATGCACTTGGTAGGGCCTTTCACGCCTCTGGTTGTGAGTTTTAGCTATTTAATTGCATGGCAGACTGAAAGCCTGCAAAAGCAGTGATTAGTTCACATTTCCCCTCATTAAAGTGTGTAATTTCAGCTACAAAAATAATAATTAATAATTTGTTTTCAAACAGGTTTCCTGAAAACCCCTCTCTCTATCTATCTATCTATCGCTCTATCATTCTATCTATCATTTTATCATTCTGCCTTTTAGTTGTTCTATCATTCTGTTTGTCTGTATGTCGTTCTTTTGTTCTTTCCATCCATTCATCGTTCTGTCGTTCCATCCATCATTTAGTCTGTTCCTCCATCCATCCATCCATCCATCCATTCATCCATCCTTTATTTAGTTCGTTCATCCATACATTCATCCATCCATCAATGCATCATTCTGTCATTCTGTCTGTGCATCATTCTGTCCATCTATCGTTCTGTCGTCTGTCTGTCTATCTGTTCATACATCCATCCATCCGTCTGTCCATCTACTGTTCTGTCGTCCATCCGACCGTCCGTCCATCCATCCATCATTCTGTAGTTCCATCACTCTGTCCGTCCATTTTTCTGTTTGTCCATCATCCGTCATTCAGTCCATCCTTTCATCCTTCCTTTCATCCATCATTCTATCATTCTGTCTGTGCATCGTTCTATCTGTCCATCCATCATTCTGTCTGTCTATCATTCTGTTGTCCGTTCATCCATTCATCTGTGTGTGCATCCATCCATCCATCGTTTCATCTACTGTTCTGTCATCTGTCCATCCATCCATTGTTCTGTCTGTCCATCCATCCATCCATCCACTGATCCATCTTTCTATCTATCCGTTGCTCTATCACATCTGTCATTCCATCACTCTATCTACCTCTCTGTTGCTCCCTCAATCTATCTATTGTTCCATCCGTCTCTCCACAATTACATACAGCTGCTATTATAAGATGTTGTATGAAGAGTACAATTTGAGTCACCCCTGTTAGTAAAACAGTCGTCATTCCCAGATACTGTCAGTATGAGGTCCACTGGACATTATCCCAACTCTAGTGATGACATCATTAACCCAAACCTAACCTTATATTTATTTTCCAAGTGAGTAGCTGATGACAAATGTATTCACTTAACTTACACAAAAAATTGTGTAAGTTTGAGTGCAAACATCTCTCAAGCTATACATCAATAATCCACAGCTGTTCAGCTCACTTACACCTGTTGTAAGAGCCTTCAGGGAAATGTTGATGCTGTGGTTCTGAACTGAACGGAGACTGAAGGCGCTCCGAGCATCTGCCCGCTTACACCGCTGAGGAGTTGAGGATTAACTCCTCATCTGCACTAATGGAGATTAATGCGTCTGTTTCTGTCTCACTCTGAATTATGAAGCACACACTTATCGGAGGTCAACTTGATTCCCTCAACACACTCTATGAGTCATCACAAGCCAAAAGGCAGAACTGACCTAGGAACCGCTCTTTCGGGGAAAAATCAGCTGTAATTTTCAGTAGCAGTCTGCCTCAGAGAGATAAGAGCACGTTGTTGTGAAAAAAAATGATGTAATGGTGCTCAGAAGGACTAGAGATGTTTTTGATCTCCAGGTCATGACCTCAGATTAATGTCAGCTAGCTTCAAGAATCATCAATATATTTATCTAAGCTTGCCATTAAGTAGAAGAGACCTTCCATTCTTGAAATGCTCCCTAGAGACCAGGTCCTTCAAATGGTACAAAGTGTCCACTGTCTGAAAACCCAGCATGCAATGCCCATAATTAGCCATGAACCCTGTGACAAAGGCTTTGATGAAGTCACTTGTGGAAATCTTTGACTTCCTGATTGAGGCTCTTCAATGGCTCTGCCTGCCTAAAAACAATGATTTAATTTGGCATCCATTGCACACAGATGCTCGTTCTTTCTCACACACACACATGCACACACACTCTTTTTGTTTGAAAGCACTGGGCTGCCCTTTCAAAAGAGTCAAGAGAAGGAATAGCAGGACTTGTTTTTTGCAGGGGTGTTGAGCGGTGACTGCTTGGTTTTCGGGTTTATTGGTTCTGGGCCATAAGGTCTCTTGTTCACCTCCTCTCAGGGCCCCCTCTGTGCTTGCAAATGAACTGTGTGGCTTCCTGCGCGGATCTGTTTTGTGTTCGCAGAGGCACCCAGGGATTAACAAGGACATAAATTACTTGGTTTGAGTTATAGGAGAACCATAATGCTGTAGATACATTGTGGGGCAACTTGTTTGTACGTGTTTTATGTTGTATGCACTTTATAAAATGTATATAAAATTAATTGTTTATTTAATAATTAAATGATATTTTACTGTATTATGGATAATTATTTATATTTATAATCATTATTATTATTAATTCTCAATATTGTAATTTTACATAATATTTTTATTTTCATCTTTTATTCAAAGATATTATTCTAAAATCTATGTCAATAAACAACATGGTCATTGTGACAACTTACCCCACGGAGTGTGATGACATGCTTTCTGTTTAATGTAACTGTATTTATTTTCCAGGTAATAATTCTGAAAATGTCCAATACTTTTGTAGCCAATACAGGATAAAAATTTTTTATCAGGGTGGATACTGGATATGATATTACAGAATGTCAACCCAGAGCTCTGTTGTTCTATAAATACCTCTGTTCTCTGACATGATGCAGAACACTGGGTCATTTTGTACCATCCTCTCAGCTTGCGAAGGACACTTTTTTTTTTTTTTTACGCTTTGACCAGAATGTGGACATTTTCTGGACTCAAGCCAGCTGCTTAACCATTACGATGTTTTCATTGAGTGTAACCTTATCCAGAGTTTAGATTTTGAGTGAGAAGTAATTAGTGAAATGTTTGACAGCATAGATTAAAGTGTCACATTTGTGGACATTTCAGTTTAGGCGAAAGGCTGCAGAATGACTCGCTCAAGAAAACCTAGAGGAAAATAGTTTGAAGGCAGAGTCTGTTTGAAAGGGTTGTGATTTATAGACTACCTTTATTTTCAATCTGTGGAATGGAGGTTGACTGAGCTCTCGATCAGGCTGGGCTCCAGGTGCAGGAGTATGAGCCACTTCAGTGCTCTATTGAGACTGCTGTCGGCCCCCAGTCCTTCTATGTCCCCTCCTGACCATTCAGGGCAGACAAAACGGAGTCACAGGTGAATGCTAATTTGCTGGCTTAGCTACTAAACTGTTAGTAGAATTGTTAACAATGATGTTTTTCCCTCTCTCTCTCTCTCTCGTCCTTTCTGATCTCTTTCTATTCCTTTTTCTTTTTTTTTCTTCTTCTTTTCCTTTTCTGCTTGTTTTCCTTTTTGCCTGGCAATGTGCAAATGACTGCCAATATTCTAATATTTAGACTATGTTTAATAGGGTGAAACATTGGAAATGTGTTAAAGGTGCAAGAATGCATGTTCTTCTGCAGAGTTTTGAAAGTTTTTGCGAGTGGAAAAGTTGTGGGATCCTTACCATTTCAAACAACCCAAAAACTCATTGAAAGTCTCTCCCAGGAAAATACCCACAATCCTCCTGATATTCTTCAAACACATCAGTTAACTGCAAGAGAAAATTGATAGAAAGTAATAAAGGAGCTGAGAGCTGTTTATCCATCACCCACGAGGCAGTTAATCAAACGTTCGTCGAAGGTGAATTTGAAGACAAAGTGAATTTGATTGTTGTTCCTGAGATTGGTTTTTCCTTTCAATGTCAGGTTCTGAACTCTAAAAAGCTCAAGTTTCAACCCACCACTGCTTGTAAGAGTCACATCTGATCTTTATTTTACTACTACCTTGCAGTCTTTGTTCCACTGTTGGTCTTTATATGTTCATTTCTGGTTCTCAGTAACTATATTGAGAACCTCTGAACTAGTTCTACCAACAAACCCCCAGACATTCCCACAGCCATTATTAGAAGACCTGTAAGCAGTAAGGTCATCATTCCCTTTTTTGTAGTCTCTCTCTCTCCCTTCTCATTTTTTGTCTTACTGTTTTTTTCCTCCACAATTTTAATGGAGAAATAGAAAATCATATCTGGATATAGAGCAGGCAGCACCACTTAGTGCTTGTGTTCCATTTCACGCTTCAACTCTCCCATTCAAATTTAATTGCAGAAGCTCAGCGCCTACAGAAACCAGAGACAATCAATTAGAGCCGCAGCGCTGGGAGAAAAATCTCGGTCTCGTATCTTAACCACTTCCTCACATATGCATTACAGTTGTGACTTAAGAAACAAAGCTCATGATGTCTAGCGTTTGTTCATTAGCTGGATTATTGGATTATGTTCAGCTGAGATATTAAACCCCACTGAGGAGGGCCACACAATAAACTTTGATATTCCCAAGAAACTTACAAAATGTTTCTCAAAATCACCCTCAGATCTTGGTGTTTTTGGTGTTTCATGAAGATGAAAGGATTCAGGAGAGTGCAGTGCTGATGTGAGATTAAAGATTCCATGAAAAGCGAATCCGGTCAAACTAGATAATCAATGTGGAACTGAGTTTCTCACAGCTTTGGGTATGAGATCACTTCGCTCTCGAGTAGTGATGTCACAACCTAAAGCAAACTGCTGGGAATTGAGTCTGGGCCACGAGTATTTGATTTCAGGATGTAAAGCATTTGCCTGGGAATCCCCTGATTCTGTGCTGTTTTTAGCCATTATTGAGCTTTAAATATGCTGCATGTACTGTGTGTACATGCACACATCTGGCCTCATCTCATCTGTTTTCTAACACAACACACTCTATTTAATGGGTGGGTCTATTAGAATGGATGAGGGAACACAAATCGGCTAGTTCTTCGTGGCTGTTCACACAGAAAACAGCTCTTTTTAGAGCTCATGCAGTACTTTCTCAATAACCTAATTTGGGATATCGAATACGAGAACATGTAAAGAAGGACATCATGTGTCTTCGTGTTCTTGTTTATTCTGCATTTAATGTGCACGTCAGCCAGCTAAACAGATTTAGTGATGTTAAATTAACTCTAAAAGCTTTTCAATTACTTATTTTAAATTGATTATTTGAAAACGTGGTCTTAATGTTTTCAATATTGAAAAATGCTCAACCTGAAATAGTTTGAAAGAAGTCTGTTATGCTCACCAAGGCTACGTTTATTTAATCAAAAACTATAATGTGAAATATTATTACAGTTTAAAATAACTGTTTTCTATTTTAATATATTTTAAAATGTAATTTATTCTTGTGATTGCAAAGGTGAATTTTTAACATTATTCCAGCCTTCAGTGTGACATGATCCTTTAGAAAATATTTTAATATGCTGATTTGGTGCTCAAGAAACTTGATTCTTTGATGAATAGAAAGTTAAAAAGAAGAGCGTTTATTTGAAATTGTTAAAAGTCTTTACTGTCACTTTTGAGCAAATAATGCATCCTTACTGAATAATGGTACCAGTTTCTTTCAAAAAAATAATAATCTTACTGACTCCAATTTTTTAATGGTAGAATATGTCATTATAAACCCATCACAGTATGTCTGTGTGCACTAACAGTGTTATTCTCTCACAGATCACTGGTAATGTGGGAGGCATGCAGAGCGGCCTGAACGAGCACTTGTCTCGACTGGGTGAGATCTTTGCAGCACGAGGAGACTTTGTGCAGACACTGCAGTTCATGCAACAGATGTCAGAAAACATCATTAAGCAGCTGCTTGGGCTTCCTGACTGGGAAAAGGCAAAAGTAGACCTGGCCGCCATAGCTGATCAGACAGCATATGTGGAATATTACAGGTAATGATGAGAGCTGCCACCATGAATCTTTCCATAATGTACCTCTCCTGCAATAGGCCTACATTTTTAGTGCAATGCAGGTTTATTTGTAGCAGGCAAAAACATTATGAAATATTGCATCCTTGACTTTTCATATTCCTCTAAGTGTGGTTGAGTGAAGCACCATAGTAGTCCATCAGCGGCTAATGCATGACTTCATGTGTGTACAGTCTGTTTCATAGTTGCATTTAAAGCCATTTCCTCGTGTTAGACACTATAGATCACACGTTATTTACTGCCGCAGCTTCACCGCTGGTCATCCATCAAAACATCCGCCAGTACCGCATACATATTCCTGTCATTATTCCACATTGCAGATGGCAGGTTGAAGTGATGATGTCACAGTTCTTTAGTTTAGGTTGCCAGAAAAGTTCATCTTTGATAGGAAGCATATTAATATAGCTGACATGCGATAGTGATAATGTGGGTGTGCATGTGTCTGAGAGCAGTTTATAGGAAGAGACACGTTCATCTATTTCCCTCTGACAGGGTTTCAGCGTATAAAATATTAATACCTATAGAAGTTGTTCATCTATTATGAATTATTTCCAGAGACGAAGAGCTCTCTGGAGTGGTCTAGGCAGAACACACACACTAACAAGAAGATCTTATCTCTTAGCGATTGCGCTTTTGTAGCTCAGGAAAGTCTCAGTCATGTTTTACTTAAGTATATAACTTGAAATGCAACCTAAAATTTATGAGGAGAAATAAAAAATTACACAAATGGAACAATTGTTGGCATGAAAAATTAGTATAATGTGGATGTGGATAGCATAGCTCTGATAATAACTTGGTCTTTCGAGAATCTGATGTGATAAGAGAAATGTTTCCTATTTTTATGTTTTTATTTTGTTTTCTTGGTATCGTGTCAGATTTGAGAACAGTTTGAGATGCTGTTAAGATATTTCTGAGACTCTAGAGGAGATGTTTTTGAGACTGGGATTGTTTTTCCCCAAGAGGAAAATCTGAAGCAAGTCTGTGTGAAACATCTGAGAAATTAAAGAGATTTCGTTTGTCATTTTTCTTTTAGATGGATACACAAACACACTCTTGCTTCATACCCTGTTTATTTTTCACACATATCTTGATTAACAGTTTCTAAACTTGGCAGTATATTGTGTGAATTATTGTCAGCATCTCTGATCACGTCATTTGATGTGTATTCATTAACTGCTTATAAAAGTCTTCATCTGCTGTTTTTTCTTTCTTCTGAAGATGGTTGATATACCTCCTGATACTGATCTTGGATCTGGTCATCTGTCTTGCTGCTTGTTTGGGCCTGGCCAAACAGTCCCGCTGGCTGCTCACTACGTGAGTACAAACATGACATTACACTGGGTTATCATGAGATGATGAATACTGGAATTAAAGACAAAGATATAAAAAGAAAGTAGCCTCAGATTTTTAAATGAGTCATATTGCCCTGATTTTCTTGAAAATACAAGTTCATTGTCCCATCAAGATTTCCTATAATGCTCAGAAAACATCCTAACCAAGACCGTTTTTTTTTAAAAATAAGCAAAAACTGCAGTCAGAAACCAAAAACGTTTAATTTAAACTTGGCTAACTTTATCTGTAAGAGAAACTTTATCTCAGCGAAGAAAACAATAATAAAAAATTTATGATTTGACCCCCTTTAATATGTTACGACATAAGATTGAATAGAAAGAAGTTAATTAAAAGAAGGATCAAAGAGAAAAGAAAAGCAAAATGTTCTCCTCGTTCTCTAAGGATTGGCTTTTAATGCTGTTCACCTGAAAAAAAACTATGTTTTTCATTAGAGTTCTCGTCTAAATGATAAATTAAAAAGTAGTGCTGTCAAACGATTAATCGCGATTAATCGCATCCAAAATAAAAGTTTTTGTTCACATAGTATATGTGTGTGTACTGTGTATATTTATTATGTATATATAAATACACACCCATGCATGTATATATTTAAGAAAAATGTTACGTAATTTTTATTTTGGATGCGATTAATCACGATTAATAGTTTGACAGCACTATTAAAAAGGAAACCAATAGCTTAGATGTGAGTAATTGTTTAATTTATCAGCTGGATTTTACTGCATGGTATTTCCTAAAGTAGAAAGTGTGTCATTTAGCAGCACAGTGGATTTCTGTATAGAACAGTTGCTGTCATGTTCAGTATAAAGTGAAGCGTTGGAAGTGTTCTGCAGTCTTATGGAAGTAAAGGGACTGTGTTATCAGAGATATCCTAAATTGAGGTCACTGATTGTTATATATAGTACAAACCCTTCGTTTATAAAGATTCATAGGCGACAAAATCTGTAGAACAGGCTCTGTTGGGTACTGTCTACCCAAATTTCTCTCACACACAAAGCACAAACTGTGTTATGCTTATGCATGGCTGAATCTCATGAAAACATGGTCACATTTCAGCCCCAAAATAGTAATTAATTTTTTGAATAAAGAGAATAAATTTTTTTTCATAATTCAGAACCCAGATTTGACATTGGACATCAACATTGGCAACCCAACATAGTATCGTAATTGTCAATCGTGTTTTGTATGGTGTGTGTGTGCAGGATGATGGTCTGCGGTGTTCTGACTCTGATATTGAGTTGGGCATCTCTCGGAGCTGATGTGGCCACTGCAGTGGTAAGTACAAACCAACAAGCCTGTTATTCAATCAGTGATTCTGTTCAGGTCATTATCTGAGATATGGAGAATTCAAGACAAACGCATCAGTATTTTCATTCAGAACACTTCATGTGATTACATATAATTGTGTATTTGAATGTGATGTTATTTGGTTTTTATATGCACTTGAGGTGGGTCACAGTCAGTCCTTCGCTATCGAAAGCTTGTTTATGTGGCAGAACATGACAAATAATAGTCAACTACTGTCTGCTTGCCTGAAGGAGGTGATAACAGTCCAATTTATTGCGTTTGATGTGAGTGTGTGTACAATCAAAAATACTGTGGTTTATGTGTTTATTGGGAAAAGAGTTAAAAGTGGCAGATTTCATTAAACCACATCAATGAAGGAGGAAGAAATAAAAGAAAGGGTACGTATTGAATGGAGGTCCACCTTCAGTTAAAAAGACCCAATGGCTTTTTTGATTCAGACATTACTTCCACAACAGCATTTTGTTGACAATCTAGATGAAAGTCTAGTCTAGATGAAAGCAATTCAATTAATTCAGATTAAATCAAATGAATTGCATTGTTCATAGTTTTTTTTTTTTGCTTTTTTTTTTTTTATTACTTTAGGCTTTTCATTTAGTTTCAGAATTGAGCTAAGAGAGCTTCCCTGTAGAGTCGTGGGAAAATCAGTTTTTGCCAAAGTTTTATGGCAGAGTGTGATTCATTTAACTTTTATATCCCCTCTATTTTCTCTTACAAACTATTTCACTCACTCACCCACTTATTCTCCTACTCATAACTGTAACTGGCAGGTTATGAATGCAGTTTAACAGATACCCACAAATCAATTATATCCATCAAAAAAGCAAACAGTATGGAAGAATCAATATAGCCTGTCAGTGGAACTTGTATCTAAAGTGCTGAAAAAGAGGCTTTTCTGTGTAGAAAAATTTTCATTCCAAATTTATTTCCAAATACATGAGTGTTTTCTGCACAGCTGTTCTCTCACTACTGAAGGTACACATTCCACAGCAAAAAATAAATATAATATAATACGTGACCCTGGACCACAAAACCAGTCTTAAAGGGTTAGTTCACCCCAAAATGAAAATTAGGCTGCATTTTACTCACCCCCTATGCACCCCCATGCAGGTGTATATGACTTTCTTCTTTCAGACGAATCCAGTCGGAGTTATATAAAAAAATGTCTTTGATCTTTCAAGCTCTATCGTTGCACTCAGCGGGTGTTGCATTGCTTCTGTCCAAAAGACGTGAAATAAAAAGCACCTTTCCATTAAAAAAAGTGTCTCACACAGCTCCGGGGGGTGAACAAAGGCCTCCTGTAGCGAATCGATGCGTTTTTGTAAGAAAAATATCCATATTCAAAACGTAATAATCACTTGAATCTAGCTTGCGCTCACTGTTGTAAAACGGAAGCAGTTCCGGGGGAATTACGTATGAGGTCAGCTTTGCGCATATTTGCGCAATATTGCACTATACAATAGCCAAAAATACATTGTATGGGTCAAAAATCATTAGGATATTAAGTAAAGATCATGTTCCATGAAGATATTTTGTAAATATCCTACCATAAATATATCAAAACTTAATTTTTGATTAATAATATGCATTCCTAAGTACTTCATTTGGACAACTTTAAAGACGATTTTCTCAATATTTCGATTTTTTTGCACCCTCAGATTCCAGATTTTCAAATATTTGTATCTCGACCAAATATTTGCCTATCCTAACAAACCATACATCAATGGAAAGCTTATTTATTCAGCTTTCAGATGATGTATACATCTCAATTTTGAAAAATTGACACTTAAGACTGGTTTTGCGGTCCAGGATCACATACAATACAATATAATATGTATTGTCGCCGCCACACGCTCGCGTCATGATACTGTTGTGAACGCGTGTCCACAAGTGATGCAGTAGAGACGAAAATGTGGAATAAAGTCATTATTTTTGTTTTATTTGTGCAAAAAAGTATTCTCGTAGCTTCGTAACTTTACAGTTGAACCACTGATGTCACATGGACTGCTTTGTCAATCATCTTGATACGTTTCAAACAACACAAGGGTGAGTAATTAATGACATAATTTTTGGGTGAACTAACCCTTTAAGAGAGAAATGTAGATGCGTCACCTCTTCAGCATCAGTGGACACGCTCAGTTCTCTGTAATGAACTCATCTTTCCTGCAGGCGTAAGACACAGACACACAGGGCTTTGATCCTGTCTTCACGGCTAATGAATTAATGCATAACAGAAGGTATTGAGCCTCAGGAGTTCAACAGGATGTGGATTTGACTTTAAACTTCCATGCTCTGAGACCGGATGAGGGGAATGTTTTAAAGTTGATGGAAGTGGATCACTGCAGAAAAAAATAAATGCTTCTGATGGGTTGCCGTATGATAATGGCTGAGAAATTTTAAATATTGAAGGCAGAAGAATAATTGACATGGTGGACTTGTGAAATGAGGAGGCAAAGTCGGAGTTAGTTGTCAATATTACCACTTATTTTATTATTTTGTATTATTTTTCAACACTTATGTTGCTGCTTTTCTGTGCTGTCACTTGTATTCTGATCTGAATTGTTTTGAGTTTTCTTGCCTTGTAAGAGAAATTGCTCCTGGTAGAATGGTACAATGATGTCATCACTGAATGCAAATGTATTGTTGACAGAAAATAAATGTGTTCCTTTCACAGCCTGGGGATGTTTATGTGCAAACTATATGTGAGAGTGTGTGCGTGGTGTTTCTGCATGTCTATTTTTTCCTTAGACAGACATTATAGCATAATGTCTGCATCCCTTCCTGTTGCCTATACAGTATGTTTAGAGTCTGCGTGATGACTCGTGTCGTATGTTCCTTCCTGTCTAACAGATAGCTGTTTATTATGGCCCATACGTTTATTCTACAAGCCTACAGTATATGAGTGTGTTTGCAGCCGTGTGTGCTTCCTGTGTCGATTTATCCCTTCACCTATTGCCTCAAACATCCTGCAGTAACAGAAGTGTGTTTAGTTGAAATACAATTATACAACAGTATATTTATTCTTGAACATGTATACACTATCGTTCAAACGTTTGGGGTTAGTAAGATCTTTTTTTTTTATAAAAATTAATACTTTTATACAGCAAAAAATAAACTATTTAAAAACTGATATTAAAAAGTTGTGCAAGTTTTGCACTTGATCAAAAAATCCTGAAAAAAAGTATTACATTTTGAGTAAGAGTTATTATAGAAAGAATTATTGTGAATTGTAATAATATTTCACGATATTACTGTTTTTACGGTATTTGTAATAAAATAACACACTTAAAAACATGCAAAAAAACAAAAAAAAAATATTTCAGACATCAAACTTTTGAATGGTAGTGTATTTCATATTTATATTTAATTTATTGCAGGTTTTTTACTTTTTTGTGTGTTTTATGCTCTAGGGCACAAGTGATTTCTGTGTTGCACCAGACAAATTTCTGATGAACCAAACAAAAGATGTGATGAGCTCAGGTGAGTGTATCTCTTATTCTGAATGTATGTACTGTACGTTTGGAGAAAAACAGACATGGACACATATATACGCACACACACACTGTCATCTCTATATTCACTGTAATCTCATATTAGGAATGGGGATTATAGTTCTTCAGTGAACAAATTTGCATGAAATGGCATTTTTACACTATCAAGTGCTTGAATAGTTTAAAGGGTTAATCTGAGAGACCTTTAATCCTGCTCTATAATCACTGTGACTGAATACATCGGTAAAATGGCCATTCCTTTGATTACGTAACTTTAATCCTGTTCTCAGCCATAATATGTTCCTGCACTACCAGACAGACAGAAGCTCCCTCAGGTGCATGAGGACAGAGCCTCCCAAAGGAAAATGTCATTCCTCAGAGGCTGCTTTTCCATAGCGCGCAAGACTTAGAGTATTTCACTCAAAAATGAAAATAGCACCACAGCCTGAATGGTTAAAAGTGGCTGCTATACATCTGTGTAGTATAGTGGATGTCATCCATCAGAAGATTAATTTAATCTTAGTTATGACTAGATTTTGAAGACATGTCACTTTTCTTTTCTATTGTCTATATGTCATGCTGTTCATAATGCAATCTTTCTTGTTGTTTCTTCTTTTCTAGATATTGTGCATTATTACCTGTACTGCAGCCAGACGCTCCCCAACCCGTTTCAGCAGGTCTCAGGTGCATGAGGACAGAGCCTCCCAAAGGAAAATGTCATTCCTCAGAGGCTGCTTTTCCATAGCGCGCAAGACTTAAAGGAGTATTTCACTCAAAAATGAAAATAGCACCACAGCCTGAATGGTTAAAAGTGGCTGCTATACATCTGTGTAGTATAGTGGATGTCATCCATCAGAAGATTAATTTAATTTTAGTTATGACTAGATTTTGAAGACATGTCACTTTTCTTTTCTATTGTCTATATGTCATGCTGTTCATAATGCAATCTTTCTTGTTGTTTCTTCTTTTCTAGATATTGTGCATTATTACCTGTACTGCAGCCAGACGCTCCCCAACCCGTTTCAGCAGGTACTATGTTTAATAGAAATGAGAACTTGCACTCTGTTCTTTAATTTCCTACTAAAAATTGTCTTCAGTAGAGATGTGAATCATAAGGAATCTAAGGATGCTATTTTGATTCTTGTTTTACTTAATACTAGGGTGACCATACGTCCTCTTTTTTCCGGATATGTCCTCATTTTTGACCTACAAAAATGCGTCCGGCCGGGATTTCGTAATCGCCCAAAATGTCCGGGATTCGGCTGTTTTCTTAATCCTGCTCCCGCTGAATCTCTGATCCCTGCTGCCTGCTCCCGCAACATGCGTTTCGCTCCCACGATTTTCATGTCCACTCCTTTAAACATTCTAATATTGTGTATAATTTTGGAGCATCAGGGAGCCGCTCTCAATATGCGGAGTATTTAAATCTACTTTCACTTTCAATTTCGATCGAATCACACGCACTCTGTGTAAAGGGATCTTACAAGATCAGATATTTGTCAATGAGTTCAGGATCTGTTGAGCAGCAAATACTCCAGCATGGTCTTGTCAGTCATCTCTCCTTATTCTCGATCTGTGATCAGTCAAATCTGACTTCTGCAGCTCTTGTTGGATGCAGGGTTGCCAAGTACGCGTGTTTTCCACAGAATTGGGATACTTTTAAACTGTTGACATGGGTTGATTTTCCCAAGTGGGTTAAAGGTTTGAAATATTGCATAAATTACATTTGACTGAAATGCTTGTATTGAAACATTTTGCATTCTACCTATGATAAAACTTTCATGGACTTCTACATTAACTGTTCCCTCCTGGTGGAATTATTATTTTTTTATTATTAAAGAACCATAAGTGAGTCATTGCACCATTAGTGAGTCTTTATGAACAATTTGTTAAAAATAAGCAGTTCATAGGGGTTGTTTGTTCACAACTTGGTTTATGATGGTTACATTTAATGTTTGTAGATCAGCAAGGGCAATGTAGTAGAGGAATGTTTATTTATTGTCTTTTGTATTATTTTCTCATCCCATTTCTTTCAAACTGCAACCCCACAATTCATAATGTATCTTTATCATTTTACTTAATACTGAATTCTAACAGTTCTTTTTGTAATTTAGAGAAAGAAAAATATTTTTTTAAAGTCAAATATGTATATTGAGTGAGTCATTACACTGCTTAAAATAGCTACACTGAACAAAATTATAAATGCAACACTTTTGTTTTTGCCTTTTATTGTGGCCAGCCTAAGGCACACCTGTGCAATAATCATGCTGTCTAATCAGCATCTTGATATGCCACACCTGTGAGGTGGATGGATTATCACAATTCATAATGTATCTTTTTCATTTTACTTAATACTGAATTCTAACAGTTCTTTTTGTAATTTAGAGAAAGAAAAATATTTTTAAGTCAAATATGTATATTGAGTGAGTCATTACACTGCTTAAAATAGCTACACTGAACAAAATTTTAAATGCAACACTTTTGTTTTTGCCTTTTATTGTGGCCAGCCTAAGGCACACCTGTGCAATAATCATGCTGTCTAATCAGCATCTTGATATGCCACACCTGTGAGGTGGATGGATTATCTCGGCAAAGGAGAAGTGCTCACTAACACAGATTTAGACAGATTTGTGAACAATATTTGAGAGAAATAGGCCTTTTGTGTACATAGAAAAAGTCTTAGATCTTTGAGTTCAGCTCATGAAAAATGGAGGCAAAAACAATAATTTTGTTCAGTATAATAACTTTTATTTTTAAACTGAATTTACCAGTTTTTTTTCATTTTGCTATATATTTGTATGTCAGCAAGAGCAATGCAATATAAAGATGTGTATTTATTTTCTTTGTATTATTGTTTCTCATCACATTCTTTTCAGAGTGCAAGCTCAAAATTCATAATTTGTATTTCATGACGTTATTGGTTCTTTAACAGCATCCTAACTTAAATGAAACCTCGTAAGTGACTAATTTGGGATTTATGCATAAACATGCATAAAACAAACAAACATTGGGTAAAATATGTAAAATACTAATTTTGAAATTAGATGAAATCATTTTTATAAATTTTAAATTCTGAATTAATTTATTAATTATAAGTACATTTGTAATAAATAAATAAAAATTCTCTCACTTTATCTTCCATCTAGGATGAGTTAATTTACTTGTCCCGTCACAATGCATTATGAGATTGTCTTATCTGTATATAGTCTGCATTGAAATGCTCTTTACATAATTTACATAGTTCAGTAGGTTTTAAAACGTCCACTTTGAATCTGTTCTCAATTCTCCAATCTAGCTATCAGTTACTGCGACTGACTTCAATCTCCCTCTCTCCCTCTCTCTCTGACTCTGTCTTTCTCCCTCACTTCTCCTGTCTCACTGCATCTCTCAGGGTTTTTAGGTCAGGCAGTAAAAGGCCAGTGTCCTATATCTCAGATTGCTGCAGTTCAGCTTGACCTGAATTTTGTGGGACAGCGCAATTCAATAATTTTGGATGTAATAGAGAGGAGATGTTGAATGATATTCCTTAGATAAAGTTCACTTACTTTATTATTTCTAAAATATTTCCTTTCTCACTCTGTCTTGAACTCTCACCCTCATTTTAGCTTTTCCTGTCTTGTTTTGACAGGAACCAGTCTGCGCTGTTTGGAGGAAACCCGCGCTATGAGAACGTGCCTCTGATCGGGAGGGGATCTCCTCCTCCTTCGGTGCGTTGTGCTCCAGAGGCCAGGCACTTCTCAAGACCCACACATACACTCATGTTGATACAATGACAATAATTCATACCAAAGATGAACCTTTTTCACAATCATTTTAAGGGTCAACATGAAATCAAAATTGGCCATAACAGTAGTGTACTTTTTTAGTACTTATGATGAGCACAGATGAGGTGCCAAATTGGTTTGGTTACCCACATTCTTTAAAATATTGTCTTTTATGTTCAACAGATGAAAGAAACGTCTGTTTGGAACAACTATCCCTTTAATTCTTCTATTTTTAATTCTGATGGTGCTATATTTGTAAATTGCACTTTGTTCTGTATTTTTAGTAATATAATTGCAGCCTTGGTTAGTATAGGAGAAAAATCTTACCGGCCCCAAACTTTTAAATAATTGTGTAAACAATGCTTCTCTTTCTTTCCACAGAGAAAGAGATTACGATGACATTGATGACGGGGACCCGTTTAACCCTCAGAGCCGGCGAATGGCGTCCCACCATTCACAGCAGGGCAACATGCACAGCTTCTGCAGCTACAGTAGCAGCATGGGCAGCCAGACCAGCCTGCACCCTCCAACACAGGCTTTGACCAACGCACCCCTGTCAGAATATAGGTAAGAGTCAACCTTACACATGATTCATTGCTTTTCATATTCTGTCATTTCCTGGTTTCAGATCGATGTGCCTGAATTTTGTGGGACAGCGCAATTCAATAATTTTGGATGTAATAGAGAGGAGATGTTGAATGATATTCCTTAGATAAAGTTCACTTACTTTATTATTTCTAAAATATTTCCTTTCTCACTCTGTCTTGAACTCTCACCCTCATTTTAGCTTTTCCTGTCTTGTTTTGACAGGAACCAGTCTGCGCTGTTTGGAGGAAACCCGCGCTATGAGAACGTGCCTCTGATCGGGAGGGGATCTCCTCCTCCTTCGGTGCGTTGTGCTCCAGAGGCCAGGCACTTCTCAAGACCCACACATACACTCATGTTGATACAATGACAATAATTCATACCAAAGATGAACCTTTTTCACAATCATTTTAAGGGTCAACATGAAATCAAAATTGGCCATAACAGTAGTGTACTTTTTTAGTACTTATGATGAGCACAGATGAATTATGCACAAGAATAACAAAAATTAGGCTTGATGGCAAATGGGCTAAATTTTGATTTCATGCTGACTTCAAACTCTTGCCATGATTATTTCTACCCTTAAACTTCTATTTGTCCTTTGATAGCCAGTGGCTTTCTACTGTCTTCTGCTAATAGCTTCTTTTACGGTTTTTCTTTGTCTGTTCGTATGTTTCTCTGTTTGTATGTTTCTGTTCTTATTTTTCTTCCTTATTTTAACCAAAAAATAAAATTCCTTTTGGAGCTTTACTCTCAGCCATATAGAAACCGCGTAAGTTGCTGTATGATTACAGTATTATTGTCCCAGTCCCTTTGTTCTCCGATCTTTTTAATTCATCTCTTGTTTTTTCCCATGCGTTTGAATAAATTCTTTGTGGGTGACTTTTTTTCCCCTTTTCACTCCTGGCATGGATCCTCATAGACATACCCGCATATGTTGTATGTTAGACACAGATGATCTATGTAGAGCCTGTTGCCCCTGTTGGTAGGAGGTCAGAATATATTTACAAGAGCATTTTTCTGTCAGATTGTAGTGTTGTCTGGCCACTAGCATGCCTTGCAATCCCTTTTGTTAGCTAATAACTTTATACAGGTTTAGATTGAGTGAATTATAGAATTTAGCTAAAAAAAACAACCTTGGCGTCCTCAGCAAACTTGTAGTCCGCACCAAACACAAAAAGTGTAGTTCATTTTCATCTCACTCTTGAAAAATGGTTCTTGTTTGCTTGAATGTTCTTAGCGATGTATGTATTGTCAATTTGTGACTTCTGTGTGGATGTTTTTCACAGTACTCTCCAACCATGAGAGCCACCTACCTCTCCATGACCGAAGACCAGATCAGACACTTTGGGGAGGATTTCCGAGCGTAGAACTGATCTGTTGTCCTCTGGTGTGAGTCTTCACTCGCTGGAAATAAGGACACATGGAAAACACTCACGCCAGCATGCGTGCACGCCCATCTTAAAGGAGCACAGTCTGAAAGTCGGAATGTCATTTTAAGAGCACTCAGTGTGTGTCCGTACGGTTGCTGGCATGCATGTGTGTTTGTCAATCATTCTGATGGTGCGACGCTTCTTTTCCCTCAATACTGACACATTTGTGAGGTGCTGAAATATCCTCTCTCTAATAATCTGTTTTATTTGTACATTTACACCGTATTTTTCGACTGTTGGTCTTCCCTATTGCCTTTTCAACTGCCGAAACTGTTCGACGTGGGTAACAAAAACTATTTTGGAGCCACTTTATATTAAATGTCTTTAACTACTACAGTACGTACTAACATTTAAATTAATCATTTGATGCATTGCACTTTTTGTGTACATACATGTCTTTACATTGTACTTATACTGTATATATATATATAAAATTGTGTGCATGTAATTTCATCTGTAATTTATTTTCTTGCATCTATTGCATAAATTACACTGTTAACCTTTAAAACTAACCATACCATAAAACCTGTCCCTCACCTTAACTGCATCCAATCTCAATAGCAAGTGTTCTACAATACAAATTAAACACAAACAGTACATTGTACCTAACAGTGTTTTTAGTATTATATACTATTATAATATTTATTAATATTTTTATATTTGATATTACATTTTAATATTGGTTTTTAATCATTCTTTTTATGATGGCTAACTGTACATATACTAATGCATCTTCTTATTTTGAAGTGAAGCCTCTTATGTTTTCTCAGTGTGTTTTGTGCCAAGAATGGAAGCATGTTTTGTGCCTCTAAAGCCTTTGTTTTCTTTCCCTTTCATAGTTTTTTTTTTTTTTCAGTGAGCGACCGCTGGTGTGTATCTATGGGAGTGGGGAATAAAACCTTTTCTGTTTATTTTATGCATGTAGAGGCATTTCAAGCACAACGTGATCAAAAATGGTTCCACAAGTGATGTTTCTTGTTCGAGTTATGACTTAAAATCGCAGATCTTCTATCAACTCTAGAGAGCACTCTGAGCCAATTTCTTCCCATGATGCAAATGCATATGCTTTGTATTAACCCGTTGACCAGCTGTAAATAACCTGTATGATAACCAGTGTTGTGTGATTATTTTGTATTTCTTTTTTAGCTCCATTCTTGTGTGCCATTTTCAGTATGTTGTTTGATAAAATCAGCTTCTTGGACATATGCTTGCACAGTGTGTTCTCATTTGAGATTTATGGTCGCATCCATTTGGCTTATTGCATAGTTAGACTGTTTTTAATACATTTTATTAACTTAAATGATTTTAGCAAATGGCTGCAATATAACAAAGAGTGAAATATTTAAGGGGGTCTGAATACTTTCCGTACCCACTGTATACACTTAAAATACTTATTTTGGTAACACTTAATTTAAATGTGTCTTTCATGCCCATTACATGTACTTATTATTGATTATTTTGTATTTCTTTTTTAGCTCCATTCTTGTGTGCCATTTTCAGTATGTTGTTTGATAAAATCAGCTTCTTGGACATATGCTTGCACAGTGTGTTCTCATTTGAGATTTATGGTCGCATCCATTTGGCTTATTGCATAGTTAGACTGTTTTTAATACATTTTTTAAACCGATTTTAATACTTTGGGTGCATGGATAGCACTGTGCTGCAGACACTACTGAGGGTGGCGCTTGATTTCTGTCTAACTTAGAGGACAGAAACATGAATATAATAAAACCATTTTGAATTGAATTAAGATCTACGAGTGTAACTTGTAATTTTTGAAAGTAACATTTATGTATAGGCACTTCAATGGGCCAGCTGGGCATGTTGCCACACTGATAATGCTATGTTGGACTTTGCAACAAAATGTAAACCTTTAAACGATTATGAAACTACAAAAATATAAAATTATTTTGACCAACAGTGTTAATAAACTGTATAAGTTACTTGACAGCCTGATCAGCCCCAACCTGATTATTATAATACTAATTCGGTGAAAACCAAGAGCTATTGCAGAAATATGACGATTTATCAATATGATGGTTTCAGTTTGTGAGAGAGAATATGATTGAATGAATTGATAAAACAAGTGTTTATGTAACTTAGGCCTAACGTCTTGACTCAAAACCTTGTCACATAGCAGTCAGTAGCCTAGTAATGTTTGACAAGGATGCGTTGCAGAAAGTTAAATAAACGATAATGAAATAATAAACTGAAATTAAACTTAATTTAACCATCGTATATTTCTTTTATAATTCCTGAAAAAATATTAGTTTTTTCCTCATTGTGCCCTATGACAAGAGTGTTGATATATGGCGCCCTCTACAGGCGCTGTTGTCTAATCATCAGCAAAAAAGAGAAAGCCTGAAGTAAACCAGTCAACAGCGTTAGCTTAATTTGAACGTAACATTCTAAAATAGCGCATATATATCTATATGTACAACTCTAAGCACAATTAATTGCTTTTTGTATTTAGTAGCAATATTTTGTTAATTCGTCTGAAGAGAGGTAAAGTATGTGTGTACACGTGACGTCCCTCGCGCTGCTAGGATACGGTAAACCGCTCCAGACCTGAAGCACTAAACCCATCAAACCCCAGAAAGCGTCTGAGCAGCAGGTAAGATTACTCGCATGTCTTATTTTGAAACATTTAACACCAAACGGGTTCCTGCCATAGACTTATACATGCCTTGGTATGTTCTGTTTAATGTGTATAAGCACGACCGTTCATACTTCATACTTTCTTTTTTAAAGACCTTCTGATATCGTGCTGCTGTTTGACTGGACGTTCTTCACAGGAAGGAAGGGGGGAAGTAGTTTAGGGCTACTAACGTTACTGTGGTGCTGCTACAAAACGAAGCAGGTTCAGACTTAAGTTTTTGTCAGGAACGAGGCGTTTAGTAAGCACTAAGCAGACAGTCTTGTGAACAGAGGCTTTGTAATGGCAGGTTTAGTCAGTGTTGTAATTTAATATAAACGTTAAAACGTTCATGAACGGTTTTTAATGACTATTTACAACATAAAATGTTGTTTTCAGAGTTTCAGCTTGATTTTCTCATCACTAAGTGGGCGTGACATATTATAATTCCTCAACAACAACAAAACCCGTGTATAATAATAATTATAGAAACTTTTATGAGCTCATTCATCGAAGGGATATATGGCATATTTGTATTTTTAAAAACTAAGTTGTCACCAGTGTTGGGGAAAGTTACTTTTAAAAGTAATGCGTTACAATATCGCGTTACTCCATGAAAAAGTAACTAATTACGTTACTTGGTTACTTTTTATGGAAAGTAATGCGTTACGTTACTTTTAAAATCTGGGCAGGGCTTGCTTGTTTGTTTTTAAAATAAAAAAGTTCTATTTTTGGCAAATATAAAAGCCTTTCACACCAAAAGTGAAATGAATAAGCCTCAGGCTGAAGGAAAAGTAAATTTACGTCCGTACAGTAGAATGCAGAAGAAGCCATTTCAACACACTTCAGCAATAAAAAAAGATGAGTAATTTTTGCTTATTAGTACGGTTGAACTGGATCATCGAAGGTCAGAAACAAAGACATTGATTAATAGAATGGGATTAAATACGTAAAGCATATTTATGTTGTTTAACATTGAATTATTGCAGGTTTACGTCATATTCTGAGTTGCATTATTTTTATTCATTTTGAGGAATACTGAATCTGTGTGAGTGAGATGAATTAATGCATATTCATATTTATTTTGAACTACAGTAACATCTTCTGATTTCTCTCAACATGGGGACAGGAGAGCTGTCAATCAATAAATTGGAGAAAAAAAAAAGTAACTTGCGTTACTTATTTGAAAAAGTAACTCAGATATTCTCTCGTAAATTAAAAAGTAATGCGTTACTTTACTAGTTACTTGAAAAAAGTAATCTGATTATGTACTAAGAGAAGTCGTGGCCTAATGGTTAGAGAGTCAGACTCGTAACCCAAAGGTTGTGGGTTCGAGTCTCGCAGGGATTGTAGGTGGGGGGAGTGAATGTACAGTGCTCTCTCCACCTTCAATACCACGACTGAGGTGCCCTTGAGCAAGGCACCGAACCCCCAACTGCTCCCCGGGCGCCGCAGCAAAAATGGCTGCCCACTGCTCCGGGTGTGTGTTCACTGCTGTGTGTGTGCACTTTGGATGGGTTAAATGCAGAGCACTAATTCCAATTATGGGTCACCATACTTGGCCACATGTCACGTCACTTTCACTTACTTGTAATGCGTTACCCCCAACACTGATTGTCACCCATAATATGTCACCTGTTTGATTTTCTCATCAGTAAGTGGGTGTGACATACTATAATTCCCCTAAAACTAGTAAATAATAAAATAAAGTAAAAAGTCTATGTATAATAATTATAGAAACATCTATTACAGGAGTTATATGAAATACTTGTATTTTTAAAAATGAATTTGTCACCCATAAATTGTCACCAGCATGATTTTCTCATCATTTAAAATTAGCTAGTGAAAGCAAACATTTTATCCCACAACTTAATGTAAAACATTTTTTTTAAAGTATAAAAATGCATATTTAATCAAGAATTGTTTACACAATCCTCTTTTAACATTTCTTACCTTTAGCTAAAATGGAGATTGTGTATGTGTACACAAAGAAGCGCAGTGAGTTTGGACGCCAGTGTAACTAAAATGAATTTGTCACCCATAAATTGTCACAGCATGATTTTCTCATCATTTAAAATTAGCTAGTGAAAGCAAACATTTTATCCCACAACTTAATGTAAAACATTTTTTTTTTAAGTATAAAAATGCATATTTAATCAAGAATTGTTTACACAATCCTCTTTTAACATTTCTTACCTTTAGCTAAAATGGAGATTGTGTATGTGTACACAAAGAAGCGCAGTGAGTTTGGACGCCAGTGTAACTTTTCCGACCGTCCAGCTGAGCTGCATGTGGACATTCTCCCTGACACGTCCCTCGCTGCAAACTTCACAGTGAGAGATCCGTGTAATGTGACAGTTCAGTGTGCCGAGGAAATGTCCGAGCATGAGGTGAGACCAGCATTAACACTATAACAAAACAATATGACTTATTTTCCATCATGGACTGAATTATCATGAAATTCTTGTCATGCTCAGGTGAACACAGAGCGCTTTGAATCAGAGTCCCGAGGAGTAAACCATGTGGAAGGAGGGTGGCCGAAAGATCTCAATCCAGAGGACATGGAGGCGACCATCCGCTACAGGAAGAAAGTGGAGAAGGATGAACACTATCAGAACACCATCATGCAGATTGCTGGTGTGAGTGCCATAAAGTGTTAAACATCATGTATTATATGAGCAATATATGAGACGAGACTTCAATCTCAGAAGACATTTTTTGATTTCTCTATTGAAAAACAAGCCCAATTTTGCCCATTGCAGCTCATGGAACACTGTTGCAAGCAGAACAACGCCACTGACATCTACCAGGAGTTCTTTGAGGATGAGGACGAGGAGGTAATGGAGGAATCAGAGGAGCAGCCATCAGCAAAGACAATCAATGTCTTCAGGTGAGCGCACTTAACTGTAATGATAGAGCAATATATCAACAAGGTCACTTTTTTAAATTAATAATTTCACTTTTCAGCCATTTGAAAATTATATGATTAAATGAAAATAATCTATTGAGTCATATAAATAGTCATATAAATTGAGTCATGCTTCGGAAATTTTGAATAATTCATCAACAATTAATTTATTTCTTTTGGAGCTCAAGAAACATTTTTTATTATCATCAATTATCAATAATCGATTTATTATTATTGTCAATTATCAAACAATTATTAGCCCCTATTTACAAGTACACATAGACTTGTTCTAAAAAAATCTAATTATTATTTTTTCTGGAATTATTTACATCAATAGAACAATTGAGTAGGGCTCCACGATAAATCGAAATGGAATCGAGATTGCGATACGACAGAAGCTGCGATTGTTATGCGTATCTTTTAGTGAAGCACGGTTCTGTGATCAGCAGTAAATCTCCATCTAAAGGCCAGAGGGCGCTCTCGCGCTGAAACTCCAAATACACCTCGCAGAAGAAACCCAGAAAATGCCTATCGCTGCAGCTGAATAAACAAAAGATTCAACTGCTTTCATTGATTCAACGTAACTAATAAACACACGACTACGGCAATATACGGTTTATCTGAGTTCTTATTATTATAATTTTCATTAAAATAAAGTATATTTATAATGCAATGCCTTTATCACTGCTTAAATACTATGAAATATGTTGCGTGCTTTATTCGGTCTAAGAAGCCACATCATCTCACAGAAGGATTTATTTCAAACACTCGACTGACATTATGAAGTGAGTTTGGAGTAAAAATATGTTATTAAATGTGGTATTTTCACATGCTTTCAGATGGAGCAGCATTTACTTCACAGAGCCGTAGTTCACTGAGAAGCTATGCAAACAGCTGTCATTATCGCGAACGATTTCTTCGATTTCAGAATCGCGCAATAAAATCGTCTGCGATTTTTTTTTTTGCGTTAACTTGTCAGTGAACTACGGCTATGTGTAGTAAATTCTGCTCCATCTGAAAGCATGTGATGATGATTTCCTGCTGATTACAGAACTGGCTTTACTATCAAAATGCGCATGACAATCGCATTCGATTAATCGTGCAGCCCTACAATTGAGTCATACAATTTTGAAAACTTTAGGTATCTGTGGGGTATCTGTTTTTGCTAGAGACCCGAATGAAGTGAAGCGTACAGCCACCAGTTTGTCCTGGCACCCCGATGGCAACCATAAACTTGCTGTGGCCTACTCCTCCCTGGAGTTTCAAAGAGCACCCAATGACATGAGCTTCGACTCCTACATATGGGACATTGGTATAACATAAGAACAGCTCTTTTTCTGTGATATAACGGAGTCATGTGTCACATATAGTAAAGACAAAAATATTGAAAAAAATTTTTTTTACTTTTTTTTCACTTTCAGAAAATCCCAACAAACCTGAAATGACACTGAAACCTGTATCTCCACTTGTATGTCTGGAGTACAACCCAAAAGATTCACACATTCTTGTTGGGGGAAGCTACAACGGACAAATCGGTGGGTTTGATCACCTGAGTGCCTCTCTGGATGCACAATTAATCATGTTCTATTCCAGCAACTAAAACACTTATGACCATCTGAACTCTTTTAGTGATGTAATTAGATTGGCCTCAGTCGCTTTGTGCATTTTTAGTTCTCAATAAATTATGGTTAATGGAAAAAAGTACCTTTGACCTTGTCTGAATAGCATTTGGTAGATAAAACAGATGTGGCTCTTTGTAAATTCTAATGGCTAGACTAATAGTCTATGGCACTGAATGCAAGGATGAAATGAGTATGTACTTTGGAATGGCATTTGTAGATGTATTTGTGTAAATGCACAAGAATAACCTTGAGTTTTTTTGTAAGATAATGCATGAGCACCTTATTATTTAACCCATTATCAGCATATTGGGACACTCGTAAAGGCAGCCAGCCAGTAGAGATGTCCACCATCGAACACAGCCATAGAGATCCTGTCTACAAAGTCATCTGGCTGCAGTCGAAGACAGGCACGGACATCTTCTCGGCTTCTACAGATGGTCAGGTCTGTGTGCAATGACACAAAAGTCTAAAAATAAAGAAATAAACCACACAATATTTCACTGCAACTTGCACTGCATACTAATGAAGTCATGAGAGATCAAAGATACTCTCGCTTCTGACATCAGGTACTGTGGTGGGACATTCGGAAGATGAGTGAGCCCACTGAGAGACTCGTACTAGACCCTAGTAAAAAGGGGAACCTTGATAATGCCCTTGGTGCAGTCTCGCTGGAGTTTGAGACCACTATGGTAAGAGAAGCTCTTAGTTTTTGGCTCACTTGTAGATATAAATGTTGAGAACTTAAACACGCTTTGTTTTTTATTACACAAGCCCACTAAGTTCATGGTGGGCACAGAGCAGGGTCTTGTGGTTTCATGCAATCGCAAAGCAAAAACCCCAGCTGAGAAGATTGTGTGCACATACAGCGGACACCATGGTCCCATTTACGCCCTGCAGAGGAACCCATTATTTCCTAAGAACTTCCTGACCGTGGCTGACTGGACCGCCCGCATCTGGTCGGAGGACATCAAAGAGTCCTCTATCATGTGGACCAAGTAACTTCTGTTTTGTTGTTCAAATGCTGCATTACACATTTATTTATTTATTTATTTTGGGGGGGAGATTCTCAATTTTATGTACACTACAATTAAAAAGTTTCTATTTGGCAAGGACACATTTGATTGATCAAAAGTGACAGTAAAGACTTTTACATTGTTACAAAAGAGTTCTATTTCATTTTAAGTAATGCTGTTCTTTTAAACTTTCTATTCATCAAAGAATCCTGAAAAAAAGGGGAAAAAAACATATTAAGCAGCAAAACTGTTTTCAACATTGATGATAATAATAAATGTTTCTTGAGCACAAAATCAGCATATTAGAATGATTTCTGAAGGATCATGTGACACTGAAGACTGGAGTAATGATGATGAAAATTCAGCTTTGCATCACAGGAATAAATTACATTTTACAAAACCAGTCATAAGGGTCTGTTTTTTTAAATTGAGTAAATAAGCTTTCCATAAAACATTTGAATAAATAAGATTTCCATTGATGTATGGTTTGTTAGGATAGGACAATATTTGGCTGAGATACAACTATTTGAAAATCTGGAAACTGAGGGTGCAAAAAAATCTACATATTGAGAAAATCACCTTTAAAGTTGTCCAAATGAAGTACTTAGCAATGCATATTACTAATCAAAAATGAAGTTTTCATATATTCACTGTAGGAAATTTACAAAATATCTTCATGGAACATGATCTTTATTTAATATCCTAATTATTTATATACCCGTGCTACTTATGACTGGTTTTGTGGTCTAGGGTCACATATATTGAAATGGAAAACAGTTATGTTAAATTTTAATAATTATCATAATATTACAGCATTTACTATTTTACTAGCATAATAATATTTACAGTATTTTTGATCAAATAAATGCAGCCTTGAGCATTGAAAGAGACTTTCAAAAACATTTAAAAAATCTTACCAACCCCAAACTTTTAAATGGTATTGTAGATGTTTGGTGTAACGTGCACAGGTGCCAGTATTTCTAATCTGTTTCTGCAGGTATCACATGGCCCATCTGTTAGATGGCTGTTGGAGTCCAGTCAGACCCTCGGTTTTCTTTACTGTAAAGATGGACGGCACCTTGGACGTGTGGGACATCTTGTTTAAACAGAACGACCCAACTCTCAGCCTTAAAGTTGGTGCTTAATGTCTCTTCCTTGTACTGAACCCATCTCACAGTCCCATATCTCAGCGTTATGTATTTTAAGAAACATTGACAATGTCACAATGTGTGTGGTTTTTCTCACAGGTTTGTGATGAAGCCCTGTACAGCATCCGAGTGCAAGATAACGGCCGTTTCCTGGGCTGTGGCTCTCAGCTGGGAACTACCACACTGATGGAGATTTCAGCAGGCCTGTGCACACTGCAGAAGAACGAGAAGGCCCTGGTCTCGGAGGTCAGACACAAACACACCTGGACATGTGCAATATACAGTTCTCCTTTTTTCCGTATAAAAATATACATGATATAATACTGTTCAAAATTGACCATGGCTGCATTTATTTGAACAAAAATACAGTAAAACAATAATATTGTGAAATACTATTACAATTTAAAATAACTCATATTTTAAAGGGGTCATATGATGCGATTTAAATTTTTCCTTTCTCTTTGGAGTGTTACAAGCTCTTGGTGCGTAAAGATCTGTAAAGTTGCAAAGACTAAAGTCTCAAACCCAAAGAGATATTCTTTATAAAAGTTAAGAGTCAACCACACCTACCTAAAACGGCTCGTTCTAACACGCCCCCACATATCTACCTCACTATGTGGGAAGATTTTCATAACGCCGCCCAAATGTTCACACAAAGAAAGAAGGTGTAACTTTTATTCTCGCTGTAGTATTGTTGTTGCCGCCGCCATGTCGTGAAGGTGCTGTGTGCTTTGTTGTGAAAGCGAAACTACTTTGTAGTGTAAGCCGAAGACGAAGCGGAGTCCAGCCCGGAGCCGTCACATGTGGTTGCCGCAGGCATCACAATATGATAAGGGGCGTAACATTTCCATCACACACTTGACGAATTCGGCCAATCACAACGCACTGGATAGCTGGCCAATCAGAGCACACCTTATTTTTCAGACCGATGAGCTTTGTTAAAATCAACGCGTTTCAGAAAGGCGGGGCACAGAGGAGAAACAATAATGTACAGTATGTGGAAAATAATGTGTTTTTTTAACCTTAAACCGCATAAACACATTTCATTACACCAAATACACAAAATAATGTTCTTTTTAGTAGCATCATATGACCCCTTTAATACATTTTGAAACATAATTTCCTGTGATGGCAAAGCTGAATTTTCACATGTCACATGACCCTTCAGAAATCATTCTCATATGTGACCACAAAACCAGTCATAATTTTCTGAAATTGAGATTTATACATCATATAAATAAGCTTTCCATTGATGTATGGTTTGTCAGGATAGGACAACATTTGGCTGAGATACAACTATTTGAAAATCTGGAATCTGAGGGTGCAAAAAAATTGAAATATTGAGAAAATCGCCTTTAAAGTTGTCCAAATGAAGTTCTTAGCAATGCATATTACTAATAAAAAATGAAGTTTTGATATATTTATGGTAGGACATTTAAAAAATATCATAATGGACCATGATCTTTGCTTAATATCCTAATGATTTTTGGCATAAAAGAGAAATTGATCATGTTGACCTATACAATGTATTGTTGGCTATTGCTACAAAATATACCGTGCTACTAATGACTGGTTTTGTGGTCCATGGTCACATTATCAACATTGAAAACAGTTGTGTGTGCATCACATTTTGGTTGAAACCATGATACTTTCCTTTTTCTTTTTTCAAGATTCTTTGATTAAAAGAAAATTCAAATTCAGCATTTATTTGAAAGAGACATATATTTTTAACATTGTATATTCCTTTGCTATCACTTTTGATCAATTTAATGAAAACAAACATCTGGCTAATCAAACATTTTGCCCATTGAAAACAAAGTAATTTACACAATAAGAAGAACACAGAATCTGTAATATAAAACTAGAATGCTTTTTTAATTATGCTAAGGGAAAGAAAAGTTCCTCTAAATTACACAAAAAACGTTTGTATGTACTGTACATCCATCTATCAAACGCTGAACTTGTGTATTTTGCAGATGTTTGAACGCGAGACCAAGCGGGAGAAGATTCTGGAAGCTCGGCACAGAGAGATGCGTCTGAAGGAACGCAGCCGTGCTACTAATGACTGGTTTTGTGGTCCATGGTCACATTATCAACATTGAAAACAGTTGTGTGTGCATCACATTTTGGTTGAAACCATGATACTTTCTTTTTTCTTTTTTCAAGATTCTTTGATTAAAAGAAAGTTCAAATTCAGCATTTATTTGAAAGAGACATATATTTTTAACATTGTATATTCCTTTGCTATCACTTTTGATCAATTTAATGAAAACAAACATCTGGCTAATCAAACATTTTGTCCATTGAAAACAAAGTAATTTACACAATAAGAAGAACACAGAATCTGTAATATAAAACTAGAATGCTTTTTTAATTATGCTAAGGGAAAGAAAAGTTCCTCTAAATTACACTAAAAAGGATCTAAAAAAAAACAAAAAACGTTTGTATGTACTGTACATCCATCTATCATACGCTGAACTTGTGTATTTTGCAGATGTTTGAACGCGAGACCAAGCGGGAGAAGATTCTGGAAGCTCGGCACAGAGAGATGCGTCTGAAGGAACGCAGCCGCTCTGAACAGAGCCGAGAGGACGAGGGCAAAGAGGCAGACGGGGAGGAGAGCGCAGCGGAGCTGGTGGCGCGTGCAGAGAGAGAGTTCTTCGACATCATGGAAGCTGAGAAAAAGAAAGAGGAGAAAGAACGAGATACGGTGAAGGATGTTCTGCTTCTTGAGTGAATATGCTTATTCTAATGTTTTAAAAGAAACGTCAAACCTTTAATCAAGGTTTTTAACCACACATCTGTGTGTTTTGATGGATGTTGTCATATGTGTGTGTTTTAAGAACAGCCTGTCAAATTAAATTGCCCCCCTTTGTTGAGCTTAAACAAATTGCACCCCATGTTTGGACTGTTGCTCCAATAAGATAAGAGTCCCGGGCTCTATATATAACCCTGATAGCTGGGGTGAAAAAGCTCTATTGTGAAAGACGAAGAAAGAAAAATCAATAAAGTCTACTTCGCCTATACCCAGAATGCTTTGTGCTCCACTGTGATTGGTGAGGAGGCATTTGAGCTCGCGTGAGCATCAGAAGTGTATTGCTATAGGCTTTTCTACTCAAAGGCTCATGTGATTAATGATTTTGGCCTTTTCAATGACCTAAGTTATTTGAAAATAAAGAGGGGGTTTATAATTAGGCTTGTTTTATGTGTCTCACATGATTTCTAGGCAGTTGATTGGACAAAAAAGTAGTTTGGCTGGTCTTATAGTTTTTGATCTGTCTTTTCTTTTTCCCTTCAGGAGAAAGGTGTGTGTGAAGAGAAAGATCTCCAGGAGGAGCATGAAACTAATGGTGTATCGTCTTTTACCGGAAGAGAAATCTCTCAGTAGATTGCCAAAAAAGAGCTGTTCTCATACTCGGATCATGTTCGCAACCCATTTTACTTCCATAATGTGATGTATATTTCTGAGTGAAATGGGATATTCAGTGAGAAAACTTTTATTTATCATGAACATATCAGATCATGAACATACTCTGTAAAGCTGCTTTGAAACAATGTGTATTATGAAAAGTGCTATACAAATAAACTTGACCTGACCAGGAATGTGCATTAAGAAAGTAAATCGGTGATTTCATGTTGACTTCAAGGAAAAAATGCAGCTGGATGCTTATTGTTTGACTTATGTTATGTCATGTACGTGTCTAATTAAATAAAATACATTTAGCATTTTTATTTTATTAATGTGTGATTATTGCAATTAGTCCAGCAGTTGTCAGTGTTGTTTCAGGCTTCCGTTCATCTTTCATATTCTCAAAATAGCATCAGATGATGTTGTCTGAAATGGAATTGTGAAATTGGTAGTGACTTTTTGCAATAAAATATAAAAATGTTCATAACAATCAGTTAAGTCAGTTGTAAATATTCATTATTGTTTGATTATATTTGTCATTATATTCTTCCACGTGTCTTAAGATTTTAAAATACTGGTATTGTGTGAATAGGTCGATAACATGACAATAAAATCTAATTTTAAAAAAATGCAGAAAATGGACACTGAGCAGACCTCTAATATTATTATGAATATTTTTTTTTTCAGTTTCTTAATAAAATAAAGTAGGTGTTTGTTTGTAATTTGAGGGGCATACGAACATCATGGGTTTCTAATGAGACAAAGGCTAAAATTCTTGAATAAAAACTTTCAAATAAGTTACCTTTGATATTATTATTGCTTAAAAAAAAATATATATATAAATATATATAATTTACAAAGTTAAATATAACCTTTTAGACCAGTCAGGCAAACGTCATGAAAAAAAAAACTTTAAAATAAATTGACTGTTATTATTGTTTATTTTAAAAAATATAGCCCAAACAATATGGTTGGTATGGAAGCCCGTTTCCGCCACTAAATAAAAAATTAAGGTTATTGCGACTTTTTATCTCACAATTTTTTCATATCTTTTTTTCCACAGAATTGCGAGATATAGTCACAATATATATACACAATAATGATATAAAAAGTCATAATTGTGAGATATAGGCTAAACTCGCAATTCTGAGAAATAAAGTCAGAACTGCGAGATATAAACTAAAAAGAGTTTTTATCTCGCAATTGTGAGTTTATATCGCGCAATTCTGAGAAAAAAAGTCAGAATTGTGAGATTAAAAAGTCGCAATAACCTTTTTTTATTCAGTGGCGGAAACGGGCTTCCATAGGATTTGTTTATAATATAACAATAATTAATAACAAAATTATATATATTAAATATTTATTTATAATAATATTTTAAAATTATATATATATATATATATATATATATATATATATATATATACAATAAATGCCGGGTTTTCTTTTTTGTTGAACGTGAACTGATCATCTCCTCCACATTAATACCAGTTTCAGCACAAAATAAACATAACTAAACATCTGAAGGTAAGTTAAAAGAAAGAGTACAACTTTACAATCCGTATAATCGCTCAATCAGTGTTTCAGCCGCGCAAACACGTCAAAATATAACGGGTTGAAAACGTAACGTCACATTTACCTCATTAGTCAGATAGATAAATAAACTGGGGCATTTTGCTAAATACTGTATATGCACCATATAGCCTAACATATTGATTATCATTTTTTACTGTTCTTCAATGTTTAATTTAATAAATCCATCAAGTTTTTATGACAGCCACCATTTAAATGTTTATATATTTTTTTAAAAACGTATTGAAGTAGAAATATTATTACGTAATTGTAACTTTATTATTTAAAAAACTTCATCAAGTGTAATTTTTGCAGTTGTATAGCCTACAAATCAGTCAATTTTAACCTTCAATTTTATAGTAATGTAGTACCACTACCAACTGACTCTCATGTATATTTTACAGCATTAGTTAAGAGATTTTTTTTCCTTGAAAAAATTTGGCATGTACTGTACCTGATATATATCCAAAATAATTGAATTGGTAATCGAATCGAATCGTGAAATTTGTGTCAAAACTACGGTGGCAGAGAAGTGCAAAACAAATCACAATTCTGAAAACAAAATAACAAATTCAGAAAACCAAGTTTTTAATCTCACAATTTTGTGAAAAAAAAGTCACAAAAAAGGTGCAATAACCTTTTTTTATTCAGTGGCGGAAACGGGCTTCCATAGGATTTGTTTATAATATAGCAATAATTAATAACAAAATTATATATATTAAATATTTATTTATAATAATATTTTAAAATTATATATATATATATATATATATATATATATATATATATATATATATATATATATATATATATATATATACACACACA